TATTGACTGGCTTTTTCAGTGATCCAAAATGCCAAGATACTCTCTCCTCCACGTAGGTCACAACATCTGTGGACCTCATAAGGTTTTTAAAATTTCTTTTAAATTTTGTGGTGTCTAGATGTTTGCTTTTTTTCAAGCTTTTCCTTGGGATTTAAGCAGCAGATCGATAGTTTTTATGTTTCTTTTGGAATTCATTAGACTGTATTTAAAAAGCTAAGTAAAAAACTTTAAAGCTGTTCTTAATCACATTTCTTAATACTCCAAGAAAAACATCAATAGTTTTGAAACATTTTACATTATAGAATACTGTATTATTTAGAGCAAACTCATGCCTTATAGCAGAAATATATAAAAAAAATGTACATTAAATATTTTTATGAAAATAAACTGAACTCAGAGATCTGGAGAAGAATCTCAAATGTAGGATAATAACAGAACTGATATTTATGAATTTATTCCATATTTAAACAAAAATATTTTGTAAGAAGCCATTTATTTTAGGCACTTACCAGCCTGGGATATTATTATGGATGAATGAATCTGCATGCTAAATGTTAACCCTGTCTGTGTTGTATTGTCTCAGTAGCCTAGAGATTGTTTTTGGCTGCCTTACCAAGAAGGGGAGCTTCTCTTAACACCCCATATTCTGATTCCCTGGTGGAAACACAGACAAAACAAATAGTTCCAAGGTCTGGGTTGAACCTGAAAGATTTTGGATCTGGACCTTTAGTTCTGATTGTCAAGGAGACTGTGGGTAAACCAGCCCTAATTAACTGAACTCTCTCAAAGTCCTGCAAAGCAGCAGGATAGCTGCATGAAAAGCTTCTGTTTAGAAGAAAAATTTTAAGTTAATCTCTAAAATAGGAAAGAATTATTAATAACATGGTTTTTATTTTATTTTTAATACATTTTACTCATACATTCAGTATGGAAGCAGCAAGTCTAATTTAAAACAAAAAACCACTAACCTGTTATCTTAGGCATTCAGGTTGGGGTATAATGACTGCTATTAGTGGTTTGCAAGCTAAATGAATAGTACAGAATAAGGGAGGCTGAAAGGACCCAAGTATGCTGAGTATTACTGATGAGAAGTATACAGACATTAAAGTATTTGCCTAAGGACATATTAGGAAAGGATGATTGTTAGTTTAATGAATGCTTTTGCTTTTGTGTAACTCAGCCTCTTTATACTTCAATCTGCTTTGATCAGTTAATATCAACATTACTTTTTAAGACATTTGAAAATAACTCATAAAGGAGATTTTCTGAGAAAACCAGACAGGTCTGATGGAGGAGCACAAAAGTCCTAGTTTGAAGTGTGTCAGAGTTCACAGAGCTAAGAATAACCTTTTGAGCTTCTTTTGAACCATTGCAATCATTTTACCTAGGATTCTTTATTTACATATTTTGGCTCCTAGTCTATCTAAACAACAACTCTTAAAAGTTATTCCCTAGAGAACTTGGTCTATTAAGCTTGGAGAAAGGGAGACTGAGGGGAGACCTTATTGCACTTACAATTTCCTTGTGAACAGAAGAGGAGCAGCAGATACTGATCTCTCCTCTTTGGTGCCCAGTGAAGGACCTGAGGGAATGGCCTGAAGTTGTGTCAGAGGGGTGGGCTGGATATTAGGAAAAGCTTCTTCAGCTTCAGAGTGGTTGGGCAGTGGACCAGACTCCCCAGGGAAGTGGTCACAGCACCAGCCTGCCGGAATTTAAGAAGCGTCTGCACAATGCTCTTGAGCACATGGTGTGAGTCTTGGGGCTGTTCTGTGCAGGACAGAGTCAGACTCAACGATTCTGATGGGTCTCTTCCAACTCAGCATATCCTGTGATTCTGTGATTCTGCAATTTTGTGTTCAAAAAGAACTGAGATGAAGTCCTCAGGAATTTTATTCACATTCTTTTGGTGTAGGAGAACATGGAAGGGAAAAGAAGCCAGACCTGCAGCAGCCACGGGTAAGGTAGAGGTGGTTCCTTTGAGGTTTGGCTTCATAAGATGCAAACACACCATAAGGGCATATATTGGACTGTACCAGCAAGGAACTCGTGGATTTACCTTCTCTCTGGGAACCTGTGCCTACCTCTTACTGCCTTCATGCTGCCCATGCTGCCCATAAAATATGATGTGTGTTTCTTTAACAGATTCTCCTAAAGCTGATCTTCTTTTATTCTCATCACCTCTTCCCTATTACTGCAACACCTGAAGAGTGGCTTTTGAAGGGAATTAAAAAATGGGCTTAATTTTCAAATAGCCAATTGTTCACTCATGGCAAATATTCAGGGATTCAGATGCTGTGCATGTGCAGCTGTGACCTGCTGCAGAGTGATAACTGCACAAAATTAATTTACAAATATATGTCATCTTACAAAAGATTCTGTTGACTGTCAGCTGCAAATTATTTTTTTCAGCTTTACAACTTTCCATCTGTACTTTTTTAATCTTGTGATTTGACAGGACTGCAATGACCAGATACGTGAGGTGCTCAGGGATATTAAGTAGTGATTTGAAGAATGTTACACTTGTGGAAGAGGCAGATGTAGACAGTCCTATCCTAACCAGGATCCTACTTGACTCATGAACCTTCTGTGCTATCCGTACACATTTTTACACAGAACAATTTTCCTTGAAATATGGTGTTTCTTGACAGAAAAGGAGAAAAAAGCAAACCAGAAGAATCATCAGTGACCACAAGAAATTTATTTTAGCTGGTGTAGAATAAGCTGCTTTTTACCCCTGAAGGAAAAGAAAGAAAATTCAGAATTCCTGAAATATTCCTTTCCCATCTGTGTGAGTAGAAAAAAATAGTAGTTCAAAATGCTTGTTAAAAGGTCCTCATCTTCTCTGCACATTTCACAAGGAGATATATCTGCTGAAAAGAATTGCAGTTATCTGCTTTATCATAGTTTATGGGAAGAAAGATTACAGTGAAGGAACTTCATGTTTTCAGTGGATTTCAGGACACCAAGAAGGCAATAAATTTGGGCTTTTTTGGGGGCTAGAGTCAGCTATTTCCACAGAGATAGTAGTTCTACAAACCCAAAATAATTTTTCCAGCCTACTGTAGAAGTTATTTGAAGAGTTTACATCTGCCAGCCAGAAATATTCAGCCTTTAGTAGATCATGGGAATATTTTTTTTGTTTTACACCAGAAATATCTACTTTTGGAAATGCCTCGCTAAAAGGAGGTGATATTTGGTGATATTGATGCTGATTTCTGCAATCAAACACAGGAAAAAGAATTTTCAAGGAGTTGTCCAAACCTTAAAAATTGACTTCCATTTTAGAAGCAAAAGCCTAGCAGAGACTTGCAAAGAAGAAATATCTCAAAAAGGCTTACCAGACCTCTAAAAGCCTCAGGTAGTTCAACACCAGCAGCCTCTGAAGTTGTCTTATTAGTCACTGCCAAATGATGACATTTCTGCTTTAGGTCTAGTGTCAAACTGTCAGCAGGCTGATATCTTAACCTCATGAAAAAAAATAAAGGTAAAAATATTATTCTCACTTTTTCCTGTAGATTTTATAGACTTACAGGTTACAAAACTGATTAAAGATAAAATGAAGCAAAAAAACTACAAAATCACAGTATTCAATCAATTTGATATAAAATCAACTTGATAACAAAACAAGTGAGAGGCATTATTTCAAATGAGATATTTTTTTAAGACTATCAGTGACTTTACCCGTGTAAAAAAAATGTTCAGTATATAAGACAGATATGTTTTCTGCATTTTAGTTTGTTATATAAGAGTTTTTGACTAAGAATGCTGATGAGAAAGCAAAGCAGAGGCTGATCTACATTTGGAGATAATTAACAGACATAAATACCAGAAATGGAGAGCAATTGTCTAGACTGGCAAAAGTGATATAATAAGCACAGTTTATTGAATTTGACAGATAAAAGTGAAACCTGGGTTGGAATATCTAGCAGTGAATGAGGTAAGGCTGTGAAAGAGAATGGCTTTTGTTTGTTTGGGTTTTTTGGTGGAACTGGAGGTTCTTAGGACATCAGAGAACTATTTCCATCTCTAGCAAATTTGCTTGGAAAAGCACCAAATTTGGTTTCTTCTCTGTGTTGAGGTTTTGTATTAATTTCTTCACCACAAAAGCAATGCATGCCCCTAATGAACCCATAAACCCCCTTTTCTTTATCCTGCTGTTTTTATTTATCTTGAAACACAAGGAATAATAAACATTGTGCCAAAACTTTGTTTCTGAGAAAGTTCTAGGAAGCGTCATTGCTTGGTCTGTGAAGATTAGGTTTTAACACCAAGGCAGAGTAAAACATAATTACCTCCTCTCATTTTTTATGTAGCTTTAGACTAACAAGTTTCAGACTTTCTCTTTTGAATTGTAGCAGGTGGATCATTTTTTACATTGAATGACCTATTGCACAAAAAATTTTACTGTTTTGAACAGAACAGACTAAACCAAGGGCATGCACAATGTAGAGGTGCATTATGATCTAATAAATATTCAGACACATTTAAATAGTACACATGAGGGTCTTGTTGAAAGTCTATCAAGCCTAAATCTTTATTTGATCAAAATTTCTTTTGCAATATAAAGAGGAAAGTGGCTCATATCAGTAGTACTGATTCCAATCTCACTTGTAATTGTTAGGTTGAGCTAAAATGCCATTAATTTTCCAGATTTATGCTAATAAAAACAGAGCAGAAGTGGGATGAGAACTAGCCCCAGCTGGTGCTCAGTACCTTGTAGCAATAGTGTTTTGATTCATAAGTGCATTTGTAACTTTCATATTATTCTTTCTCTACAAAAGGAATATTTAAAATTATCTGCTTATATTTATTCATACTCCTCTCCTCCACCTTACAGAAACAAAGTGGGGGAAATCCGAAACCTACCACAGAATTGCATAGCCATGGAACAGACCACATCTCAACTGTTTTTAGTACCTGCAAAGAGGGATACTCTGCAATGTCTCTTGAAAACCTTTGCCAGTGCTCCTTATGTTCAGACAGAACTTTTTGTGTTTCAGTTTATCTTGTCATTGGGAACTGGAAAGAACCTGATCCCATCCTCCTTGCACCTTCCCTTCAGGTAGGTGTGCACATGGATTTGATCCTGAGCCCTTTTCATCTCCAGGCTGAACAGTTCCTGCTCTCACAGCTGCTCCTGGTATAAAATATGGTCCAGTACCATAATCATTTTAGTGGCTTTTATCTTCAGGCCTCTTATGAACTTACAAAATATCAATACTTTAATTCTTTAAGCAGTGAATTCAACTGTCCTCTGAGATAAAACAATGTTTTGTTTTGATATATTTGATAAATTGGGGAGAAAAAATATTCATAATTTAGGATATGTTTTACAGTGATGAAGTCTAACATTCTGATAAAATAACATTGCTTCTTAAATAGTCCCTCTAGGGTAATGGAAAGAATCTCAGAGGGATATGTAAATTTTTTCTTTTTCTTTTTCCTCTTCTTCCTATTATTACCCTATAACTCCCATTACTTTTCACCATGGCAAATGTTAAATTAATTATTATAATTATTATTTATTTATTTTTATTATTTTTATTACTTCCATTACTTTTCACCATAGGTATGGCAAATAATATAATAATAACTATTATTATTATAATCATCATCATCAATCTTATTACTCCCATTACTTTTCACCATGATTTAATTATATTGACCCTTAATTTACAGATTTCTTGCATAAATCAGCATTACAAAATACAGAGATGTATTTGAGTGTCTGTAGCCAGACAGTATTGTGGGAAGGATGAGGAATGTGAAAGGGTAGGCTTCTCAGTAGTGGGAAGGATTAAAAAGATTTCTTATACATGTGTAGTAAGAGCCCAGATTTCTAAATGACAGCCTGCTCTGAAGGCTGCTGCTCTGCTTAGAGTCCTGACTACCTATTTATCCTCATTCCCAGTGGGAATAGGGATGTCTACTCAGTGTCCATTGTCACCCAAAACTGGGAAATAAACTCTCCAGCCAGTTTAGTAGATCAGAAAGGCAACATTACTTTATTAACAGTGTTAGATGCATAGGCAATTCTCCTCATTCATGCCCATGATCATAAACAGACCAGGTTATATTCCTGAAATTAATAAGTATTTATCACAGTTCCTGAATTCATACATATTTGCTAATTATTTCTGTAGATTTGTTTGGATATGGTTCTAGATCTTCTAAATTATTTTCTCTCCTTGATAATATTTCAAATACGCCATCAGGTCATAATGTAGTTTTCTTATTTTCTTTCTTCTGACATCCAATTCTTGTTCTCAAAACTCAGATATCTGCTAGTACATGTTAATCACTAACATAAATAAATAAGGAAACATTAGCTGGCACAAGACCTATTAATCACAGATGCAGGGTGCTAATACAAGAACCCTGGTATTTGCACTGAGCATCGTAGGGTACAAAACTAAGCATGAATATAGAGATCATACACTAAAAAGAGTTTTCTGACATTTTCCCTCACTTCTGCATAGACTTCTTACCTAAATACAAATTTTTCATCATCAGACTCTGGTTTAAGTAGTAGATCATGCTGCTTCTCAGGACTGAATTGACATCAGATACTATAAAGGCATATTGAGGGATACAGAAGCCAATGATAGAATCTTCTATTGTATTCTCTGTCTTAATAGACATGTTGCAGTTACCATTCTCTTCCATTCTGATATCTTCCATCAGCACTGAAGTTACCTGTTCTGAAAAGTACATGGCCAGAGCATGAGCAGCAGTGTGGTTACTATGAATTCTTTAAATGAGAAGAACTGAGAATAAAAAAACTTTATAGACTAAATATTTCTTCCTAAATGTGTCACATTGTTGTAAAACCTTGTTGAATTTTAAAAACACTCTAATCACCCGAAATATAAATACCATACCAAGTTGTGTTATTAATTGTCTCTTTATATAAACTAGATCAACTAGATTTCCATTAACAAAGTGAAACCTGATTGCAGAGGTAGTGAACAATCTGTCTCTCTGACTTATAAATAAAAGAAAGAAATGCATTCTTATTTTTTATAGGAATCATTATGGAAGAATGGAAGAAATGACTTTAAAATTAGTAAAATATAAACTAAAAGTTGTTGTATAGATACATAAGTGACATTAGTATTGTTAAAGTAATACATTAATAAATCCAACAAATTCACAAGGGAGATATGAAAGGATGACATGTTATCATTTCTTTCTGCAATGATCATTAAGAAAGATGACTGTCTTTCACAGTTGAGAGAAAGGATACCAATTCAGAGGCCAATTTAAATTATAAATCAAATCACTGTTCTATAGTTTCAGTGTAGTCAAAACACTCATTGATTAAGTACTTAAGAGTTGTGAAGTAGAATTCTTGTAGGAGAACTTAATCATATTAGAGATTAATTGCTAAACAATAGGTTTCTTTTGCAACCCATTAACAAAAAAGAAAATAAAAAAAAATGTTCAACCTGAGGCTACAAAGAAAAAGCAGTTTCCACATGAAAACAAAACAATACCTAATACACAATACACAGCAGGGAATTCAGAAATGTCAGTGCTACCTAAGCCTGCCATCCCTAAAGGAATGGGCAGTCCTTGTTTTAGAGCTTCTGGCTCAATTTGTGAAGGTTTGCCTTCTTTACAAAGCCTTAAGTTACTTGCTTTTAAAAGTGAAGAACGTGTTTAAAGCCAAGATAAAAACTGTTGCATGTGGGAAGACTGAGCCAAAAAGACTTTTACCACACATTAAGATACTACCAGGAGGGTCAGTAGCTCTTTGTGAGTCCAAGGATCTTTTTTTTAGTTTCTGCAGTTACTCTTAAAAACCTGTGTACTCCTTAGCCATCCCTTGTGCTCTTTCCATGAGAACTCACTGATACAAAAAGGCAAAAGGACAGCTTTTAGGTCTAGTGTCCTAGTAAGAGCTTAGTGTTCCATAGAATCTAAAAAGAGCTATATAAACCATGGTCAGTGTCTATTTGAAGCCTTGTAGCAAGGGACAGTCCCTTTCTTTTGAAAGGACTTAGTGTTGTATTTTTAGTAAAGAATTCAAATTAAACTTTGTTGTTAAAAGTACATGAAAACTTCACTTGACATAATTCAGTCCTATGGCTTTTGAGGCTGTTAATTCAGGCACGTGCACTGCATCAGCTTCAGGCATAAAAAAAAATTGTGAGAGGGTGTCTTTTTGCTGTTTGATTGGGGTTTTTTATTTAGGTTTTTGTTTGTTTGTTTTGGTTTTGGTTTTGTGGGTTTTTTCCTCCTTGTGTTTTGCCATTTATATAACAGTTAGAGGTTGAGGGCTACAACAAGGCTTCTCTGATCTTTAAATGTTCACCAGTAATAGGACCCATTATCACAAGTGGTGGATAAAGAACATATTCCAGTTTTCTCAGGATTTTCTGTTTTATTCTATTATTTATTTATGGGAACTGACAAACCTTAGAACAACCTCAGAGTACTGTGAAGACATCTAGGTTTTAAGTTATTTCGTAAAATTAATGTTGAGTTACCTGTTTCTAGAGAAAAAACACAGTTGTAGGGAAAAGTACTTTGTTCGTTCAATATTGCTGGTCTGAAATTTAGTCAAAGTTTAAGATTTAGGCAAGAATTCTGGGCCAGTATTTCTGGCTTGTATAACATACTGGTTCATTTTTTCATTAGTGAATTGCTGCTTTCTCTGGTGTCCTAAGCAGCAGATGTCTCATTAGCACCTGAGCTATGCCAGCTTCTGTGGAAGGCTACAAACTGATTAAACACATGCTCCATTTTTATCTCTTTATGAGTCATTACTTAAAGGTTTTATCACCAGATTGCCACACTTAATTACATGTAGCCATAATTAAATATGAATATCTGCAGATCTGGATTGTTATTTTTGCTATAAGTTCAATAAAATATTTTCCTCTTTGCTAATTAAATGCTATAGAGAAGGAGAAAAATAAAAAGGGAAAGAAGAACCCAGCCAGAATTATCAAGTATATTTAAAATATCTTTCAAATATCTTTGTGTACTACTTAGAAAAGGCACTTTTTCTAAATAAGGGTGAAATCATGTGACACAGATATAAAGCAAAAAGCATTGTTTTGATATTTAAAAGAGTCATCTGTTATCTACCAGATATAATCATTCAGAAATCATTCCAGTCCTTACAAAATTCACAGACTGTCTTCTTTTGGAACATGGTGTTGGGTACGTAAAGAAGAAATCTTGGGAACTGTCAGGATGTATTTACCAACTATAAACAATGTCTAACAAATGTATTTATTTTCTATGATAAAATGACTCAGTGGATGGTTAGAGAGGAATTTACCTTGACTTCTGCAAGACTTTTGATGCTGTCGTTCCCAATATTCTCATATTCAACCTGAGATGCTGTGGTTTGGCTGAGTAGAAAAATCACTGAGAAAAACAATAAGTGATTTGCGTTAGAGATTTAATTGGTCACACTGAACCTGGTTGAGTGTGACAGATGGAGTACCAGATTCTGGGGACTGTCCTGGGACCTGTTCCATTCCACAGCTTAATCAGTGACATGGGGGAAGTAAGGGAATGTTTGTTCATAAAGTTTTCGAATGACACCAAACTGGGGACAGTCAGTACATCCAAGGGTGGGACTGCCATTCAGAGATATGTGTGTGGGCTGCATGAAAGAGGTCAGCAGGAATCAAGGGCATGTACAAGACTTGTGCACAAAGTCATTTGTGCAGTTTAGAAGGAGGAACCTTGAAGCCATATAGGCCGGGAAAGAGCTTTCCTAAAAAGGTCCTTGATTCTTGGCTCATGAACCATGTCTTGGTTCACAGTGAGTTAGCTGGTAGCCACCAGTGTGCACAGGGCAACAAAGATCCTAGGCTTGTCAACAGGATCGTGGCAGCTGGTAAAGAGAAATTATTATCTGCCTCTGCTAAGCACTCATCAGACTGCATGGAGATATTGCATGCAGTTTATGCCCTCCTGAAACGTGGTGTACATGCTAAACTGGATGGTGTTGAGCACAGAGCTACAACAATGGACATGAGCAGGAGCACTTGACCTGTGAGGAGAAGGATCTGGAGTTCACTCAGCCAGGAGAAGACACTGAGCAGTGGCCCTGCACCTTGGAAGAGCTTGCTGTGAAGATGAAGACTGTAAAGATGGAAGCGGGATGAGAGAAAAAAGGCATACAGTGAAACAGAAGACCTTCACATCGTGTATCAGGAAAAAATATTTTCACTATGAATATGGATACAGCTGAGCTGCAGCACAGCTTGTCCAGGAGTTTGTGTACCTTCTGTTCTTGTAGGTTTTCAGGACAGGAGTGGATAAAGTCCTGAACAACCTGATCTGATCCTACAGCTGACCCTTTTAGAAACAAGAAATTGGACTAGAGTCTTCCTGAAGTTCCTTTCAAAATGAACTTTAGTATGATCCTAATCTTCCACCATTTTGGAACCTGCCAGGATCTGTGCTGGTACATTATTTTGCCCATAGAAACTATGAAACTGTTGCCTTAAAGATGTTAGTCATAGTGGTCTGTGATGTAAAAATGAAAAAATTCAGGTTAGATTTTGGGGTATGAAAAATGATTCAATTCAAATGAGTTGACTTAGGTATGTTATGGACACATAATGATTCTTAACTATATTAAGAAATTGTTTCTTTAAAGTATTATGAAGAAAAAAAGGCATATAAAGGCTGTTTCCAGTTTTCATAAGTTCCACAAGTAAATATTGTACCTTAAACCAATTTTTGATTTTTTAAGGTAAGAGTACATTATTTTGTTGTATTTATTTAATGAAAATGATTGAGAAGGCAAGAGTGGTGCTACTGTTTTATGAATGCTTATAGGCTCAGAAGACACAACCTGAGCTGAGTATTACACAGGTGATTAAATGTGCCCTGCTGCCTTTTCTAGCAGACCTGACTCCTGTGTAGTTCCCAAACAGACTGATAAAGCTGCTATTTTATAAAAATCAGGCTCTTTTTCTAGCTGATAGTACCTCTTTTGGTAATAAATATGCCTATTGTATGCCATTTGTTGAGTGTGCCCTGATTCCTTATTTTGTTATGTAGGCCAAGGTCTGAGAAACTTTCTGAGTTTCAGACCAACTTCTGCTCCATAAAGCTGAAGTAAGTTTACAGATAAAACAGCTTCTTCTTTTTTAAATTCTACTCCTAGTCCATGAAAGCTGTCATTCTAATCACAGTGCATTCCTTTTCCCATCTCCTCTTGTTATGTGGGTTAAAATAAATCATCAGTCTCAGAATTGTGTATTAGCTTTGAATTGCCTCATTATAGGAATGCTAAAACGGAATATTCAAAAAAGAAGAAGAGAAAAAAGCCTGAAAACCTTTCAATCACCGCTCAGTCATGATTTAGACAGACCTTTAATCTAAAGCCTCTAGAGAAATCTAAACTACAGGAGGGTTCTGCAGTGGATGGAATAATATGATAATGCATGATGGAATGTCATAATGTAAAAAAAGCTGGAGTTTGGGGGGAGCTAGAGAGAAAGTTAAAATTTTACTAAATCTGTCTGTTGAGAGCAATGGGGAATTTCTCTCTGGGGTTTCATTCATTGTGGGTTAATATTTTTTTTACCCTTTTCAGTTAGTTAGTGGTTTTGACTGATATTTTGAGTGAAGAAATGTATCCAGGTCCCCGTGGCCTGGAATGCTTTGGCAGCAGCAGTGCTGCAGTTTGATGGTCGATGCAGTCCCTGCTTAGGAGTGTTGTGCAAACTGGGCTGTGTCAGGAGAGGGGAGCAGAGTATTAGGCACACTGACTCAGAGCTCTCCACACTGAAGCATGAAAATGTTTGTTTCTGTGGGTCTTATTTGCAGCAGGGATGCTCACTGGTGTGGTTTTGAATGTAGGAAACTTATTCTGGTAAGTACATATAGTTGAAATCAGTGCTAAAATTCTCCATTAATATATTTAAGAAAAAAAGCAAAATATTCTTTCCATTACTTCACAAGAGATCTGAGACCTGATGCTGATTAATTCATGTTAGTTTTGTGGAAGATAACAAGGATCTGCTAAAACCTGTCATAATTTTCCAAAATAATTTCAGTACTATATAAATAAAAAATAATTCTTGTGCAGTAGGCAGATGAAGGTATTGTTAAGAATGAAATGGTTTAATATAGCCTCATTTTTAAATTCTATCAAAAATGAAAAATAGGGTTTCTTTTTAGTGTAATAATTTTCATGATACCCTTTCCACACAATGGCTTTGAGTTCAAAAATGCAGAATTGCATCTTTGAAATGATAGTGGTAATTAATGTGAGTGAATTCATATATAAGCTGGTGTTTTCTAGGGAGCACTTAAATAAATATCTTTGACATCTTTGCAAGCTCTTTAAGTGTTCCCTGGAAAACATCAGTGTTTCAGATGACATTAATACAGGCTGTTAAAGACAGGCTGAGTATAGTTAAAGACACCTGACAGCATTTCCTTTTCAAATGTTTGAAGATGGGAAGGAAAGAGCTGATTCAAAACATCTGGGGAAAAGGAAGGGCAAGAAGAAAAAGCAGGGAAAGTGAAAAGCAAGCTGCATCACACTATCACTCTTTGTGGAGACTGGTTGTTGGAATGGTAGCATGTCCTCCCATGGAGCCTGGGAGTTGCAGGCTTCCCCTGCTCCCTGTGGGGAAGATTTCAGAAGGTGAGGGGAGTTGCATTTGTTTCCTGGATCTTTGCCTGAATGTGCATATAAAGCATTTTTCTTCTCTAAACCACAGAATCAGGAGGAATGTCTTCAAATGGAGGGTTAAGAGCTTTCCCCATTTTTACTACACTGGGACTTAGCTTAGTGCATTGATTTTATTTAGCACCTTTATGGGCACAGACAGTGGCTTCATGCTGAAACTCAGAGCTTCATAGCTCTGTCCCAGTATCTAACTAACTTCTACTGGCACTAACACCATGGCAGTTATGCAAGTGAGATGAGTAGAGCACAAACTATATAATGAAACTAATGAATAAATGGTAGATAAAAATTTAAAGCATTTATAAAACTGCAAGGCTTGACAGCATAGATATCTAAATGCTATAAGTTGCATTCCAGATATAATTTCTGAGAGTGTTTTCTCACCCCTGTGGGCTAGAAGAAATTTTGAATCTGAATCCTGCAGTTAAAATTATAGAGGGAAAAGCCTTGCAGCTTAGAAAATATGTGGTTATCATATTGGATTACGTGAAAATATCAATTAAATATCAGAGAAAATGCACTTCAAGAGTTATACAAAATAGAAAAAACAAAATAAATAAAATAGGAGTTTGGAGAACATAAATTCCATATTATCATACCTGGGACTAAACCAAGACTTTGCAGAGGTCATATAAATAGGCATTTTAGACACATGTAACCACATCCAGGGTGACTGCAGTGACAACTTCATAAGCTCATGGAGAAGCACTCTGTCATCCTGTGGTTCTAAGCTGGTCTGTGTAGACTCAACAGGACATTTAAACTTGGCAGGATCTCCAGATTTCCCTAGCCAGACTGCTTCTAGTACCTGAAGTAGATTAAGCAGAACTGCAGCAGCTTTGATGGACTTCAGGCTCTCTGCCTTTGGGTAAGACTATGCAATATTTATGAGGTTATGATGATAATCAATTGGTTATGTGACCAACCATTGAACAACAAGGAAAACATTGGTGCATGAAAGACAAAACATGTCCAAGAGATACTTCAAAGGCCTTTTCCCTCTAGCACTATAAAACCCAAACCAGTGAATTGTCACTCTCCTATCAAAGTAAAGTATTCCTGCTATTTGAAATCCATTAATGTGAATATATTTTACAGATAGGTTTCTAAATGAATGCTTGTGTTGCAGACAAATTTCCTTCCAAGAGCTGAGGAAATTTAATGGCGCCCTGTAGTTAAAATTATTCCTCTTCTGTTGGTGTCATCAGTGTTATCAGTTTCAGAAAAATGCCCAGCATTTAAAAACCTGTTTTCTTTGATGGTATAATTGATTTACAAATATGCAATAAATACAGATTTCACTAATAGAAAAAAATGGAGATTTAAGAAACATTTGAAAAAAAGGATGCTCTGCTTTTAAAGCTGTACTATCAATCTGAGGGTGTCTTTATTTATGTGTTTCATAAGATATTGGTATTCAGGATGGCTTGGTTTTGGGGAAAAGCTTTTGTTGTCTTTTCATAATTTTTCTTGTCCCACAGTTTTCATTTTGGATCGTTTTGAAGTAGTCTTTCACAGAACACTCAGGTATGCTGAAATGAAAGGAAAAAAGATAGCCATGCTCACCCATTCTTCCCAGTGTAAGTATTAATAGTGTTGAGCTTGTCCCACTGTAGCACAAATAACACCTCTAATAGTGACATTTACAAGGCAGATCAAGTGTCAGCTAGGGTGAGCTGGTACAGTTGTACAAAAGAAAAGTGGAAGAGCAAACTCAGTCTTAACCAGGAGCAGAGCCACACTGAGGTTACATTCTCAGATGTAGGTAGCATGACTCTTTTTTTGTTATTTACTCCAGTGTTTTGAAGTTAATTTTCCATTTCATGGAACTTCAGTGTTGTACAGAGGAAATAAGGATGCTATAACTCCTTCATCAGTCAGAGTGGACCAGGATTTTACTACTGTGACTTGGTATCCATTAGAACCATCAAAACAAATGGATCAAGTTCTATTATGTGTTTTCATACTGTACTTTGCACTACATCACACCTTCTTTTCACAGATGATACTAGAATCAATGTACTGGGGAAAAGTCCCCTTTCTTCAGTTTGTGTCATTTCTGTTGTTAGGAAACTGTTCCTTCATAAAGGAGCCATCAGAATGCAGTTCTGTCCAATGTTGCTGTTTCAGGTTATAAATGATGATGGAAAAACTGATGATAACTGAACCTTCCACAAGACAGGGTAACTGCTGGAGTTTACTGGTGTTGGTCCCAACCAGAATCAGTGGGGATGCTGAAACAACATAATGAAATGCTAGTTAATTAAGAAAATCTAGTTAACATATGTAGTAAGAACTGAATGAGAGATTATTTTAACCCATAGATCAAAATCTGTAACTCCACAGCTGAAATGTGCAGACAAATGATTCAACCAAACAATGAAAGAAAGAGCAGGTACTGCTATGGAAGGAAAACCTCACAGAACAGACTGACTTATTAACCTGCTTGTCGTAAATCAAGATGGAAAAATGCTCTTAACAGAATAACTTCTGAGCTTTATTGTGGATTACTTTGTTTCCATTGATATGCATACCTGGTATGTTCTTTATCCTCTACCTGAGTACGTGCTAAATTCAAGGGAGTAAATGCATCTGACCTGGGATAAGAATACATGAAGAAATTCTGAAATATAGGGATGACTGAGTAAATACAATCAGAACAGTATGGTTTCAGTGCTTAAACTTATTTGTTATGATTAACTAACATATGGTTAGACCTAATATTCAATCTATATGTCACAATTGGCAACGGCTAGAACATCAGAAATTAAATATGGATCCTTTATGTAGACAATGACCTGGGCTAAACTCTGTATTTCTTTACTATTTGCAACATGGTCACTAAATTCTTCTCACTCTTCAGCTGACTATATTGATGCCTTAAGTTTTAGCTTTCATATTTTCCAGATTCTATACTGCATTAATATATAATTCTGAATTTGTAATACTTCATAAAAAGTATTAACAAATTCCCTTCACAGTTCAGTTAGACAAAATAATCATTTTCCAGCCCAAGAACCAAGGATACCACTGCAGCTTCAGATCCAAAAAGTATAAACAATGGGAAATTGAGGAGAGCAATCTGGGAGGATGGGATTTCATAACCTGAAGCTGCAGTTAGACAACCCCAATATGTAAATGGACCAAAATTTATAAAAGTGTGAAAACTCATGATTTGGGGTCCAGCTTAGGTCTAGCCTTGGCTAGGCTCTTGTACTACCCAAAGTTTATCCTTTGAAGGCCTTTTTAATAAATACCTACTTTGTTCCTTTAACACTATAGCCTCTAGTCTAGGTAACCTCTCAAGGCATTAATAAAATTTATGAATTACCCTAATGAGACTTAAGGAAAAACCTAATGAAAGGGAAGTCATGACTAGCAAAATAAAGGACTAAATTATTTGTTAAATATCTCTAAGTCAGAAGAGAACACTGTGATCCAGAAGTATAACATCCAGTAACTGCTCATTGTGCAAAGACAAAATTTTACATTTGCTCATCACTTCCAGTAGCTGGTTTCTTCAAGGCAATGACAAATCTGCAGGTGAATATGCAGTATTGCATTTCTGCACAAAATTATTTCACGGTTGTAGGAAAGCTTAAAGAAAAATGCTGTGGCATAGTTATTTGATTTTGTAGGAAGCATCCACAAAGATTACTACAAAAGGAAGCATCTGAGTAATCATGATAAGAATGGGAGAAGCTTCAAACAGGCTATGTTAATATCAAGCATCTCAGTGTCCAAAGCTATTAAATAAAAACAATAACACTGCCTTCCTTTGTGAATACAGTGAGATCTGCTGATTAGAAGAATACATTAAGCTAATAGTAAGGATATCAGTACTATGAGTTCTGAACCTGTGGTCGTGGCAGTAATGGATGCAAACAGCTACATTCATGCATCTTCAGATACTATAGTAAATAGTGCTTTACATATTCTTACAGATTGGAAAATGCACTAATAATTTTTCTAGGATTGGTTTTGTTTCATAATTTGTTCAAAAACTATTCCATGTGATTAACTGACCATTCACAAGCAAACACTTGTTTTCATTCTGTTCATTAAAAAAAACCAAACCAAATATAAAGATGCTTATCATATTGATTCAAATACCCAACACATTCAATAACGATTTGTTGCGCCTCCGGCTGTTTGGCAAAACAGTACAGGAATAAACAGATTATTCAATGTATTATTCAATGAGGATTTTTCAGCTCTAAGGAAAATTAATTGAAAAAGTTACAACTGTATAAATTTGAAGCATGAATGGTATTGAAATGTGTAGAAAAAATATATTATTTGTTTCTGAAGCAAAAAGGAAAAAATATACTCTCCGTAGTCTGCAAATTAGGCCCAAGATTGATCACTTATTTATCCAACTGTAGGGCACACGGGCTAAACCTGTGTAAGGGTAGAGTTCCTACTGTATCATAATTAGTGATAAAAGGGCAACAAATAATAGCAAGGCTGCCAATTTAGTTCTACTCTTTGATTGTTAGGCTTTTATGATTGTAAGGAAAGGAAACTGAATGATTTTGGAATGTGGATTGCTGCTATTCACTAACTTTTCTTTGTCCTTTTTTAACTTAAGTGAAGCACAAAATGAAAAAAAAAATAAAAACAAGACAATAAAAATGTTAGAATATCTAAAATGAATGTTTAGAAATAGAAATGTTCTGGGACCAATGTGATAAGGATCCAGACATAACAGTTTAGAGTTTTACAAAAATTGTCAAATGTCATTGTTATAAAAATTATTGTTGTCATAAAAATTGTTATTGTCATAAAAATTAAGCCTTTTCTTAAAATCACAGTTCTCGGTGTACTGTGATTATGTGAGGCTCCTAGCTTTTCTTGTTTTGCCATTGTATTTACCAGATATAAATTATAATACATATACATATTATATACCACATGACTAAGCATTCAAAAAACAAGAAAAATAAACAATCAGATATAGATTTTTAAAGCTTATCTTTTAAAAATCTGATAATTAATTGAAAATTGGGATTTAACTATATTAATTTAAATCCTTACTGACATTTACATATTTCTATTTTATAAACATTAAGACTTTCTTTTATGTGGTCCAACGATACAGAAGGTCTGAGTGCATCACATTAACTAAATCCAAAGTGTATGGGGGGAGTAAAATGCAATGGAATAGGTGAAAATGTTTTTTTTTAATTGACTATGTTTAACAATGTCTTAAGTAGCTTCTTAATTGTCTTGTTATAAAGTGTTTGTCTCTGAAAAACCCACTGGAGTTAATTTGACTCAAAACAATAGTTCTTTTGTACAGTGAAGAAGACTCTAAGGAAGCAGAAGCAGTAAAACAAAGTTCTTCTCACACATGTTTTTAATAGTCGCCACATCTGCATGACTACAAAAGGAGAATTTCAGACCTTTTGGGGACTTAAATTTTCATAACAGATGGTCCTATAACAAGCAGCAATTCACATCAATACCTTGATGTTTGCTTCTTTTTGTACCCTGGTGTCAGTTGGGATCGAGTTAATGTCTTCTTAGTAGCTGGTACGTTGCTGTATTTTGACATTAGGATGAGAATTATGTTAATAACATGCTGATAGTTAAGTTGTGCTGTGCAGTTCTTACTCTTAAGTCAAGGGCTTTTCATGTTCTCGTGCTGCCCTGACAGTAAGGAAGGTGGCAGGGCTCAAGAGACTGGGAGGGGACACAGCCAGGATAGTTGACCTCAACTGATTTAAGGGATATTTCATACAATATAGTGCCTAGCTGAACAATGAAATTGAGAGGAGCTAGCTGTGAGGGGCTGGGTACTGGTCAGAGGATGGTGAGCAGTTGCACTGTGCTTCATTTGTTTTGTAGTTTCTTTTATCATAATGATTAGTTTTTACTTTTCAGTACTATTGTCGTTAACTCCACCCACAAATTCTACCTTTTTTCCAACTCTATCCCATATCCCTCTGCTGGGGAGTGAGCAAATAGCTGTGTGCTGTTTAGCTGCCTACCAGGTTAAACCACAACAATGGGACTGTGATTTACTCAAATATAATCATTGTCTCAAAGAATCGGCATTTTTATATTTCAAGAAGACATCAAAGTTCATTAACATTGCATTGCTGGATTCCTGTCTGAACTGTGCTCTTTTGCTATTAAATGAACCAAGCCATACAGCACCTCTTTTTGGATTTGAATGAGCACACATATTTTTGCTGTTGTATATAGACATCTATTTGCTGAATTTGAGTGCACTTAAACTTCATCTCTTCTGTATGGAAATTACAAATGTATAAATTTGCAGAAGTCATATAAAAAACCCCAACAAACCCAACAAAATCACAACACACTGTCCTAAATCCTTTTATTTTACTTTATGGTTTTGAAGCCTTATGTCTGGCTGCAGTACTTTTTTAGTGTTCTTAGCAGAGAAGCAGACATAAAACAGATCTAGAATGTGGTAGTACTCGACACATGATTCATCAACAACAGACAGGGGCAGATGGAAGCTTGTACATAAGCTCCCATTGCCTATAAGCTGCCTGGTCTCACATATCC